TTTCTGAGAGGTCGTCCAAGATGTTTCAAAGTAAACAAGACAAGAATTGACAATATTTGTTTATATGAATCCTCTACATATTTCATAATGTTTCTCTTCAACCACCAGGCACCAGAGCTGACACCGCTTTCTTCGCACTGCTAAATAACATATGACAAAGTGACTCATCAATCAGCTTTGTATGAACAAAATTAGCCTCAACCTGGACACAAGACAATGCGTTGCGGAATCCAAAAATGTCTCGCTCCCCAAGAGCCAATCATTGTTAACTATATATCCATAGTTCAGTCACTAGTCGAGTAAATATGGCTTGATGCGAACAGAGGCCTCAGTCTCAGTGTCGAAATTGCAAGATCTTGCCATTTCGATGGAGGAGCAGCAGCAGTCTGAAGCAACTTGAGGCAATTCTCAGTTTGCTTGTAGATGGCTTTCTCCGCCACAATATCAACTCTACACATCAGAGTTTTAGCACCAAAGCTTGAGCAATTTTTTGGCAGGTCACCTTCCTGAACATGCCAGAGAGGACATTGACGTGTGGTATCCGCTCCTCCTTCTCCTTCCTCCTCCTCACTCCAACTGCCACCAACCAATTGCTACCAACGAATTGTCACCAACCAATTGCCACCCATCAATTGTCACCAACCAATTGCCACCCGTGATTTGCGTGGCAGGCGCAGCACTTGGTCCTCTCCAGAGGGTGGGATGTTCGGCCTGGTGCTCGCTGGTGCTCGGGTCGCCGCCGCTGTGCCGCTGTGATTTGCGTGGCAGGCGCAGCACTTGGCGCTCTCCGTGAGGGCTCAGCGTCCGTTGTTTGATTGATTGCGGCTCACATAACAACCCACCACTGCTCGCTCACTCTCCCGTGTCACTCTCCTTTGTCGTCTACCCCTTTTCCCGAATGGTTCTCGTTTAACTTGGGAGTCTGAGGGTAGAGCTGTGTTTGCCCGACGTTGTTTTCGAGTTCGCAACCGTCCGCAACCGTCCGTATGATGTCTATATGGCCCTGGCATTGGGGGAAGCTTTTGCAAGTGACTTTTCATGGATGTGTCACATGTCCATTTGCGCCGCTATTCCATTGTGATTTGCATGAAAGTGACATGTCGCGCAAGAAGCGTGATGCATTTCGCTGCACTGGCGCAGGGTTTCGTGAAAGTGACACGTTTGTGTCGGTATTCCCTTCAGATTAGCGTTTGGAGAGTCGTGTTTATGGGGTGTTGGATGTGGCCGTGCCATTGGGGTGTGCGTTTCAGGGTGTGGCATCGAAGCGCTGTTTTCGTGACAGGTCTCAGCTGAAATGGTGATTTTGGTGGATGGGAGTGTGCTCAGAACGGGCCGAAATCATTCCAAACATGTGGTGTGGGGCAAATTTTGTTGAAGCTCACATGAGATGACATTGTCACTTTTCTTGGCAGGCGCAGTACTTTGTGCGGGCTTTGAGGTGTGGAAGTGCGAGTTTCGTGGCATGCGCAGGGAATCGTGAGGTTGCGATGTGTGACGGAGGTGCAGGCGCAGGACTTTGTGCGCGTTTGACGTGTGGACGTGGAAAGATTCGTGGCGGGCGCAGGGAATCGTGAGGTTGTGAGTTGTGGTAGAGGTGAATGTCGCTGCGACATTGGGATTGGCGTGTGAGCGGGTGTTGTTTGGAGGGGCTGGAATCGCGAAACTGCTTGGCAGGGCTGCGCGATGGGTGTGCTCCGATGGGTGTTTCCGCTTGACTTTGGGAGGAAGTCTCGTACGAAACTTCGACATCTGAGTTTTTGAGGAAGTCTCGTACGAAACGGTCGTTTTGGAGACTTGACGTGACGTGTGACTTTTGGAGGAAGTCTCGTACGAAACGCTCGTTTTGGAGACTTGACTTCGGAAAGTGACATACCTGGCAGGACTTTATCTGTGTTACACTTTCTAGCAAAACGTCTAGCAAAGAGTGTCAAGAAAGAGTGTCTTTTCAAGAGTGTCCAGCAAGAGTGTCTAGCAGACTGTCCTGCCCAGCAAGAGTGTCCAGCAAGAGTGTCTAGCAAAGAGTGTCCAGCAAGAGTGTCTAGCAGAGTGTCAAGCAAGAGTGTCTAGCAAAGAGTGCCCAGCAAGAGTGCCAAGCAAGAGTGTCAAGCAAGAGTGTCTAGCAAAGAGTGTCCAGCAAAGAGCGTCAAGAAAGATTATCTAGCAAAGAGTGTCAAGAGAGAGTGTCAAGCAAGAGTGTCCAGCAAGAGTGTCTAGCAGAGTGTCAAGCAAGAGTGTCCAGCAAGAGTGTCAAGCAAGAATGTCAAGAGAAAGTGTCAAGAAAGATTGTCTAGCAAAGAGTGTCAAGAGAGAGTGTCAAGCAAGAGTGTCCAGCAAGAGTGTCTAGCAGAGTGTCAAGCAAGAGTGTCCAGCAAGAGTGTCAAGCAAGAGTGTCAAGAGAAAGTGTCAAGAAAGATTGTCTAGCAAAGAGCGTCAAGAAAGAGTGTCAAGCAAGAGTGTCGTGTCAAGAGTGTCCAGCAAGAGTGTGAAGCAAGAGTGTCCAGCAAGAGTGTCAAGCAAGAGTGTCAAGAACAAGTGTCAAGAAAGGTTGTCTAGCAAAGAGTGTCAAGAAAGAGGGTCTAGCAAGAGTGTCAAGCAAGAGTGTCCTGTCAAGAGTGTCCAGCAAGAGTGTCTAGCAGAGTGTCAAGCAAAGAGTGTCAAGAAAGAAAAGAGTGTCAAGAGAAAGTGTCAAGAAAGATTGTCTAGCAAAGTGTGTCAAGAAAGAGTGTCTAGACGGCTGGGGAGGTGCTGGCGCTGCTTTAGTTGATGACTCTGCGAGTCATCTCCGAAAACAAGATCGCTTTGAGTGCTACGCTTCTATACAAAGTGACTGCCTTCGGGTTCGTGGGTTCTATCAGGTTTTTCCCGGCGCTTCTCCTTCTTCTGACTGCAAACGTGATCTCTGGATAAGTTGTTGTTTGACAAGAAAGGGTGAGATCCAAGACGTGTAAATTCTAAGTGTGCGGGCCTATGTTCACACTAATGCACAGCGTAGTCATCTTGGAAGCTTTAGCCAGACTCAAAGCGTAAAGAACATGGCAGGAAGGTTACTTGGCTGACAGGATTGCTCTTCACAAGACACCTGCGAAGTGCACAGACCAGGACTGGTTTTTTGATCTGCATGCAGAGTCAGAGCCGTACAGGTACCAGGCGCATTTATGTGAGTAGAAGGACAACTGGAGTGTACAGAAGTAGTTTTCTGACACATTCACATTTGCGTCGATGTTGTACAATCTGCACACGTATTATATACACAAGTACGTGTGTATCATGCATGTTTGATTTAGATCTATTTGATCAGCTTTCGCTTCTCGTTCAGGATGACTGGCAAGGCGACAAAATAGGCGCTCAGACCAGCCACACGTTACCAAAAGCAATGCTTGCTGGCTGCCAGGTCGTCCAATTGTAGCCCCAACTTCCCTGATGTTGTGGCGTGGTGTTCGAGCTGGGTACTGAATTACCATAGAAGAGAAGCATTGACTTTGGGGTTTCTAGTAGCACAACAGAGCCTCATGCAAGACTCTTGGCTGCCTCTACCTCCTTGTTTGTTTTTCTCTCTTTTTTTCTTTCTTCTTGGTTTTTTCTTCTCTCTCTCTCTCTCACTCATCTGAATTCCCAAACATGATTGCAGTCCCAAACTTGGCACACTCATTCCACTTGTTAGCTTTCATTTTGGGATGAAGACTAGACATCAAAGTACTCCCGAGGTCGGGCATCCTCATACTGGCTTGTTGGAATCCTGATAGCATCAGAGCAGAGTGTCTCGAGTGAATACTATATGTTTGGCGCTCTTAGAATCATATCCCAAGAAGCAAGGCCAATATACCAAGCAAGGTGGACTTAGAACAGTCTTTTCATGTCTTTTCAAGTCTTTCGGACTCGTCATTGGAAGCAGCATGGGCAATAACACCGTCGTTGGTTGAGAGGACACTAAGTTAAGATTCGATGTGTCTAGGACCCGAAGAAGCCAATGCCGGAGCAGACGAGGCCATGGCCATGGCCATGGCCAGACAAACTTTAATTGCGTCATGTTGGCGCACGTTTTTCTTCGAGATTTTTCGATTCTCTCTGTAGGAATAGGCTATAGGTGCCAGGAGGTGGGGTAGCATAAGGTTGCCAAGTATTGAATTATTGAAAAGGTAGAATATAGCAGCCAGTGCTGCGAACGCTGTTGAGCTGAAGAGACAGGAGAAGCTTCCTTGAACACTGCATGTGTAATCATCTTTTTTTGTTCCGCGTTGCTTACCTTCAGAATCCATCTCGATCTCCTTTTTGGAAGCGTTTCTCAAGAGGTTTGGCAGCTTGGTTTGACCCAAACATTGGTGCCCTTGCGCCACATCTGATGACTTGGGTGTCCACCCCAAGACGGGTTGGCTTCCAAGCCTCATTCCGGCACCTCTTGGCTGCCACAAAGGCCAAGCGATCCTGCACACCATGGCGCAACACCATGGTGCCGTAGTTGCAGCAAGAAACGTTCTTCTTCAACTCAAACTGGCGGTCTGGCATGTGCTCATAGTAAAAGGTCCAGTCCAAGAGGCTGGTGATGAGCTGCTTCGGTGAGCTTGGGCTCTCCCGTTGCTCCCTCGAGAGGCCCCTGGTTGTGATGTTCACATACTTGATCTTTCAGAGCTGTCAATTGCTCATAGCTGTCCTGCAGGGTTACCCTCAATTTGCACCACCTGCAGACGAGAGCTCTACCACGCGTGTCCCAACCATGGCCATGCTCATTTCCAGCTTGTCGCGAAGCTTCAAAAGGCATCCTGCTTCCTTTGGAGAGCATGGGTTCTCCAATCTTTTCCGGATGTTCTGGCTGCATGGGTGAAATGAGACTTATCTGATCAATCCTCTAAACATTCCAAAAGAACCTGCACCCTCTCAATCGGAAGCGGAGCTACCTCACGATATCGGTCATCCTGTTCTCGTAGATCAACTTCAGTTTCTGAAGGCCGCACATTAGCCGCGGCTGTGTTGGCATCACGTTGTCGACTGCGGAGTGACCAACTATGGAGAGGCATGTCTTTGATTTGCTTCTGGGAAATGCTCAGGGGCGGAACTTGTTTCTGCCTGTCCAAGGTGACAAGGATTCAACGGCATTGAGGTCGTGGAACTGCTTCTCATACTTTAGGATGTGTGCATCTGGCAACACAGCTGACATCCCTCCTAGTCGCAGAAGCAAAACTGCCACAGCATACATAGTGTTTGAGCTCGACATCTTTGCTGGTGGGCGCAATGCCAATAGTGAGAAACTCTGGAACTCCCAGCGTCAGTTCATCCTGGTCGGTCCAGGTACCCCATGCTTGCACGGAGGCACCCCCACTGTCAAGAAAGTTGCAGGATGTAGCGGGGAAGTTGGAGAAGTTCCTTCCTGCTCCCAGAATTCAAGGCTCATACAAGTTTGGTGCTCAGGGTCATAGTCCGCTGGCAGAGGGGCTTGACTTTGGAGGTCGTGAGAGAGCATAGCCAAAGTGCACTGCTGTATACTGCTGCGGCTGGTTGCAATGAGGGCACGTCATACTGGGTTCTTTAAAAAACAACAGCCGCCACCAAGTGAAGGGTCGCAAGATAGATCTCCTGAGTCCCCCCTACCCCTCTATTTCTGTGTTGCTGATTGGACATCTGACATGTGCTGTGCTGACATGAATGGCTGTTCTTTTTCTGAAGGCCGTCAAGACCGAACTTCATGCGACAACATTGAAGTTGGTGGTAAAGGGGGTTGCACGGCGACATGGACCAGCTCTTGCCATGGCTGTTTTCTTTTTGGAAGAACCCGGCATGAGTGTGGCGTTTGAATCACTGAGGTTTGTGAAAATTGCACCTTGATGCCATTGTTGCAGGGCCGAGGCATCTCTGTTCAATGTGCGCTGCAACTTGCTCTAGGGATGCCAATCAAGCGGGCTCATGGATTTGCTGTAACATCATTCGTCCACTGATCCTGATGGTGCGATCCCAAACTTCTGACTGTTTGAGGATGTCAAGGCAAGGTTGCCCGCGCGCGGCGTCCCATGGTGGCCCTGATCCTCTTCCAGACTTGTGGTGGGAGTCCCATGGCCTCATGTCCTCACCCGCATATATAAAACCCATATCAATATAATTCAATATGTATATATACACCGGTGAAAACTAACATGTTCGCAAAAAAATTGGGCATATGTTAGTCTAGTTTCGGAGCGGACACCGTTGAGACTAACCTAGACCAAATTCAGATGTGCCATGGTGGGCCCTTACAGGTATGTTGACCTCTACCGGCCTATGTTTGCCTGCGTTCAGTTTATAGTCAGATTGCAGTTGGTCCATGTTAGTGTCACAATCGATCATAGACTGAGAGTGGGAACGGTCCATGTTAGTGATGTCCAGAAATTGCAAAAAAAAAAACCGCTAATACCGTTTCCCCAGGAAGTCACCGTTTCGAGTGGTCCATGTTAAAGCGCACTGAAAATGAGTTCTGGTCTATGTTGTTTTTCCCCGGAGTATATATATATATATATTTGAATATGCACAGAACCAGTATTTCAGGAGAGATGTCTCAGAGATGATCCTATTTTGGTGTTCAGCATCAGAATTAATTTTGGTAAAAGATAGGGCCAGATAGGGCCCAGAATTAACCACAGAATGACCCCGATCTCTTGCTACTAAGCTCATAAGCCGTAAGCATGCTGGGGCATCTCATCAGTGGCAGCAGGCCATGTTGAGCGAAGTAACATTTTTTGATTGCCAGAGCAAAGCTAGAGGAAGGAAACAACATTGGCACCACATTGGCACATTGGCACCGCAAAACGCCTGACCACAAATCACCTTCAAGCGCCACGACTGACCCGCGACAGACAGTGAATCGTTTCAATGGTGATAGAAACGCGGCTGTTTGAAAGTTCTGTGTTTGCTTGCTATGTGTTACCTCATTTTTCATTGTTTTCTGATTGCGTCAGGTTTTGTGTCAAGGCTGTTCCAAAGATCCTTCACTTTTTGTGGTTTTGCAGCGTGCTCCTGAGATGGCCAGCTGCGAGAAACCCCAGAAGTAAATGAGATGTGTGCTGGTGTGATAGTGCTTTGAGGGGGATGCATGATGCATTCGATGCTTTCCGGTGATTAGTCAGGTGCCATCCCGGAGCACATCGTGAAACGCATTGTGAGCTTTGCAGAAATGAATCCAACCTACAAGGCAAAACGAGCTCATACATTCGGAGTCTACTGTCCATATGAACGACTGGTCAGGTCATGATTCTGGTTGATGTTGCTCCGAACCAGCGGGAGGCCAGCGACATTTTGCTCCACTTTGTGGTGAGCTTGAAAAAGTAATTATATAAGGGCATTGGTCCAGAACAAGCCATCATAAAAGTTTATAAACACAGCCCATCTTTTTCAAACCATCTACGGTAAAAGCTTCCTTTGAGCGGGCTTTTGCCCTGCGATGCTTGTCTGAGCCCAACATGTCAGGTGGACTTGATGAATTCACCACAGGCAGGGTCCAATCGCTTTGTTGATCGACTTAGAGCAGAGGTCTTTTTGTGCTTTTGCATTCAGGTGGTCAACCGTCCTGGTGGAGGTATCGTTGTGCCTGGATCAAATATCGAGAAGAGCAGAAGTTTGTGTCGATAGCAGTGGGCCCTTCTTAGACCTCAGTCTCAGTGTCAAACAAACAAACGTGGAAGCAAAGACAACTTCAACTAAACGACCTAAAGGATCGAACGCCAATTGAGGCAACACCTTAATAGGAGTCGAGCACGCACACATTGACTGAACAAATTCCCTTTGTCGAGGTGCACTACTTGCATTCATATGAGAATGACTTCCGCACCATGGACTGTGTCCGGCTACGACCTGTCGAAAGCATGAAAGTACACAACTGTGTGGCTGTTCTGCGTGTGCAGACTTTCTGGATCTTTCTGGCTTTCTCTTGATTTGTAAGCTGTGCGGAACATTTCTGTTCAGAGTTGTGCCAGTGCCCAATTGCGGTCGTTTTTGACACCTTGTTACCTCGGATGGAAAAAGACTCTTTTGAATCTTCATGCAACATGAACCTTTTTATCGGTGGGATGGCCACCTACGAACAGTCTGCGGGTGACCACCTGTGTCTTGTCGTGATCTTGCCAGCAAGTGTTGGGATTCTCAAGCTCCAGGACATATTGAAGTGGATGGACAACATCAGCTGCATCCTGAAATTATATAGATACTACGAGATCATACGATATCGCGAGGGTTTGTAGCTGCTTTCCATACTTCTTGGTGAGCTACACAGCTGCAGCCAGTCAGGTCACAACCCTGTCCACAAGCACAAATGTGCTGGTATGTCCGACGTTGCTCGTTTGGAGACGCTCTACAGGTATGGAGGCTGGCGAAATAAGTCTGCTCAATGTTGCAGCACGGATCCCACATTCATTGGCATGGATGTCCTGAGTTGAAGCTTTCTTGCCCTTGAATGATGCCACTAGGTATCTACATGGATACCGATTTCGTTCCTGACCGTCCCTTTGCCGACTATGGTGACACCTTCAGATGGCCTTTCGTTACCCACAAGGTGGAGCTGCAACCAGCAGACTAGAAAGCAAGATACAGTATAGTATATATACATAGCTTCAAGATTAGGCGGCTTGGAAGTCACGCCGAATCAAGCTGGTAGAATACACAGCACTTTCGTGGAATGATTCGGAATGTTTGCGAAACAGGAAACAACAAATCAGTAGGCCTTGTGAAGCTCAACATTTATCCATTAGCTTTCTTTCGCAGAATGGAGGTGTGTGGCATCAACATCATCAACTCCATTCTGTCCTTCGACGCTCGACGGTATCCACTCGGTTGAGTTGAAGGGTGAGGCAGCGCTTAGTTAGTGCAAAGTGCGGGAAGTTGCCCCAAGGAAAAAGGAGGAGGTAAAGGAATGGTCAGCAAAGCATACCATTTCGGATAGTTTTTGTGTTGATAAACATGTGGTGATGCTGGAAAATGTTGGGAGTGCAAGGTGCATCACCAGCGCCGTAGTTGGATTATAAAACGTGTTTTCAAATATTTTCGATGGTGCGGGCAGTGGTGAGGTGGAGGGCGTGTCATCCTTATTTGCAGTGATTGCATGTGGTTGCCACATTCCCGCCCTTTTGAGGAACACCGCCTTCACTTCTGCTCTTGGGTTTGTTTCATCGCACGACCAAGTTGTGGCCTGCCCCTCACACGTTTAAGTTTAAGGATTGGATAGGATTGGCAATTGGCGCATTCTGGCGTATACTGTCAGGATCCGTCAGGTGATGAGTGTTGCATCCATGTGAGGCAAGCCGTTTCCGGAGTTGTTTGGAGCGGCCTCATCAGTAACTTGAACTTCAAAAGTTTTACAGGGCTTCATGCTATGCGGGAAACCTGCGAAGCTCGACATGCGGCTCAGAAGACGTTTCTCCATGGTCCAATGTTGACGATCTTGAGCGAAAAAAACGCACAGAGTCACAGAGACTTGGCACGCGCAGAGCAAATACTAGTAGCTTGGATGTGTTCCCAGACCACACACACACATACGCCCTTCCCAAAGCACGAAGCACTTGCAATGCTAGGGCGTTTGTCTCCACAGCCGCCAGCGGCTTTCCAATAGTTTCCATACTTGTTTGCAGTTGAATAGTTCTGATACTATGCCACAGTATGGTCATCGGAAGTGACCTTTTGTATTGATCCCTGAGGACAAGAAGTCGGGCTTCTTGGATTTTGCACGATCCCCAGTCGCGTGGAAACCTTGAAGTGATAGTATAAGGTGAGATATTTTGTGCTTCGCTTAGATTGCACATTGACGAATAGCAGTCGAGACTTGGCATGTAAGAAAGATAAAGTACTATGTCTTGCATGACAGACATCAGATGAGAAACCGCCGAAACCCCCGATGAAGGCAGCATCACTACAGTGAAGACATGTGAAGACAAAGAAAGTAAAATGAGGGAAACCTTCAGGATGGTAAGGTTCACAAGAAAAAGCAATTGCGTCACTTCGAGTGATCCCCACCACGACATTTCAATCCGACAAATTGTTCGGCATGTATTGAAACATTTCGGCATCTTTTCTGGCATATCTTCTCACATTGGTTCTGACATTCTTTCTGGCATAGTTATGCACTCTTTCTGACATTCTGTCTGGCATATCTTCTGACATTCTTTCTGGCATTTTGTTGACATTATTTCTTACATTTCTTCTGGCATATCTTCTGACACTCTTTTGACATTCCATCTGGCATATCTTCTGACACTTTCTTACATTCTTTCTGGTTTTCGTCTATCTGGCATATCTTGTGGTGGGGAACACTGCCGTCCGGTACTGGCGGTTGAGGTCCGGCAGGGAACACTGCCGTCCGGAGCTGGCCGTTGAGGTCTTTCTGACATTGTTTCTGGCACCTTTTCTGACTTATCTTCTGACATCCTTTCTGACACTCTTGCTGGCATATCTTCTGAGATTCTTTCTGACATTCTGTTTGGCATATCTTACGACACTCTTTCTGGCATCTCTTCTGACATTCACTCTGGCACTCTATCTGGCATATCTGCTGACATTCTTTCTGACAATCTTTCTGGCAAAGCTTCTGACATTCTTTCTGACGTTCTTGCTGGCATATCTTCTGAGGTTCTTTCTGACATTCTTTCTGGCATATCTTCTGACATTATTTCTGAAATTATTTCTGTCACTTCTTTGGACATTCTTTGTGGCATATCTTCTGACATCCTTTCTGGCATATCATCTTCTGACATTCTATTTGGCTTATCTTCTGACACTCTTTCTGGCGTTCAATCTGGCATACATATCTTCTGACTCGCGGTTGAGGTCCGCCGGGGAACTTCCGTCAGGAGCTGGCGGTTGAGATCCGGCGGGGAACACTGCCATCGCGAGCTGGCGGTTGAGGTCCGGCGGAGAACACTGCCGTCCAACACTTGCGGTTGAGGAGGCGAGGAGGAGGAGCAGGCGGGACGCGAGGCAGCTGACATAAAAACCTAATAACCTCACCTGACAGGTGGGAAATTACTTTACTTCGAGCGAACCCCACCATGACATTTCAGTCTGACAATTTTTCTGGCGTGCATTATGTATTGAAACATTACTTCGGCATTCTTTCTGGCATATCTTCTGACATTCTTTGACAGTTTTCTGGCATATCTTTTTGACATTCTTTCCAGCATATCTTCTGACATTCTTTCATTTGATATTTTCCGGCATATCTTCTGACATTCTTTGTGGCATTTTTTCTGCAATGCTTTCTGGCATCTCCTTTGACACTCTATCGAGCATATCTTCTGACATTCTTTCTGGCGTCTCTTCTCACACTCATTCTGGCATTCTATTTGGCATATCTTCTGACATTCTTTCTGACATTCTGTCTGTTTGGCATCTCTCTTGACATTCTGTCTGACATTCATCTGGCATATGTTCTGTATATCTTCTGACTCAGATGGCAGCCAGCCTTCAGTAGCAACTGCCATCAAAAAGAGGGCGTGGGATGTCTTGGGTTAAAGCTAGACCCCAAAACCCAATGCTGGTGAATGTCCACCAATAAGTTTCAATCGTACTGGTACCTACATATCAAAAGCTTGTCAATGCTTGATAAGGCATTGGAGGCCTACAAGGAGAACTGCCTGAAATTCAGGAACTGCATGCCAGAGGTTCGTTTTTGTTTCCTGAGATTTCTACCAGTTTCCACTTGGTCGGCTACATGCCACTTGCTCCTGCCCTGTTGCTCAGGGTGGAGCTGGCCCTCCTTTCCTTGCCACTTGATTATTTGGATCATGGATGATCGTGGTAGGACTGCGAGAGTTTTCAAATTTTTCCATTCAGTGGCATTGCAAACCAGGCGTAGCCAATGATTCCAACTTTTCCACTCTGTATAAAATTGAAGTGCGTTTCTTTGCTTTCAATTTTCAATGTTTTCATGTTGAGGCAATGGCGATTTTGCGTCCCGGCCTTGGTGCCAAGCTGTTGTAATGTTTGGTGTCGATTTTGTAATCTCCTAAGAACCTAATAGCGATGGCCTCCAACCTACTAGCGATGGCCTCCAACCTACTAGCGATGGCCTCCAACCTACTAGGATGACCTCTCCCACTAGCGATGGCCTCCAACCTAATAGCAGTGGCCTCCAACCTACATAGCGGTGGCCTCCAACCTACATAGCGATGGCCTCCAACCTACTAGAGGGATGGCCTCCAACCTACTAGCGATGGCCTCCAACCTACTAGCCCAAGCTACTAGCGATGGCCTCCAACCTGCTAGGGATGGCCTCCAACCTACTAGCGATGGCCTCCAACCTACTAGCGATGGCCTCCAACCTACTAGGATGACCTCTCCCACTAGCGATGGCCTCCAACCTAATAGCGGTGACGATGAATTCAACATGTCCTAGTTTCAGTGTCCAGACTAGCTCACAGAGGTTCAGAGCTGATACTTGACCACTTGTCAGAAATTTTCAAGAATGACAACGCTTGCTTCGTGAAACATATCATAGTAGTTTGTTTTTCCCCACCTGCCAGGTGAGGGTTGTTAGATTTTATCACAGTTGTTCTTCCTCCGCCTCCGCCTCCGCCGCCTCCTCGTCCTCCTCCTTCCTCCTTCCTCCTTGCTTCCTTCCTCGCCAATCTTCATCGCCAATCTGCTTCGCCGATCTTGTCTGGCCAGCTCCGGATCGCAGTGTGCACCCCTGGACCTCAACCGCAAGGATCCCCTCGCAGTGTGCACCCCTGGACCTCAACCGCAAAGATCCGATCGCAGTGCGCACCGCTGGACCTCAACCAGATAGTTTGCCAGATAAAATCCACAAACACACAATCACAAACACACGACCACAAACGCGCAACCACAAACACACAACCACAAACACAATCACAAACCCACAATCGCAAACACAATCACAAACACACAACTACAAACACAACTACAAAGACACAATCACAAACACACAACCACAAACACAAAACCACAAACACACAACCACAACCACACAACCACAAACACACAATCACAAACACAATCACAAACACAATCACAAATACAATCACAAACACGCAACTACAA